GCAGAACTACAGTCAGCTGAAGTAGCCTGCAGGGCTGCATTTAACCACTGCGCCACCTCGGCTCTTAAAGTAAAGGAAGAGGAGTAGCAAGAGGGAGACGGTGGGGCCCTTGGAAATCTTATTTCAGGGAAATCGTTTTTTAAGATCCTCACCCAGTCTTGGGGATTTTCGGCTGAAGGGCAGTCCCTTCTAGCACTGATGATGTTCCCTAGTTGGGTCATGAAACGTCTGCAAGAAAACCACCAAGCTCAGAGAGCATCGAGGACTCCACAGTTCAACCCTGAGCTGCAATTTCTAGGAATACATTTCCACGCTGTGTCTTGAATAGTGTACTTCAAGGCTACCCCCCGGTCTCTTGAGTTCGTTTTTCCTGGGTGACCACCTTTAAGTAACCTTGGTTAGTTCCCTACAAGCTAAGATGAGGTAATTGGGGAAGGGGAAACATATCCTGGAATAAGGCAGTTTCAAACCACGCCTGTATGGTGGCCAAGAAAAAGGAGGTGGATGCATTCACACCGTCAAACCTGAGAATGAGGAAATCTTATTTTAGAGAAATCGTTTTTTAAGATCCTCGCCCAGTCTGGGGGATTTTCGGCCGAAGGGCAGATGACGAATGTCGGTCTCAACATCTGCCTTACGTTTTAGGAATCGCGGCTTTGACCTTTGCCCTCTTCATGTCAGCCCTGATGGGGATTTTCCAAGAAACCATCTATAAAAAGTTTGGAAAACACTCCAAGTAAGCTTTGTTCTACAATGTAAGTGTCCACCGTCCATTTTATCTAGTTTCAATTTGCAGGAATTAAGTGGTTTCTCCCAAATAGAAAGAATTCCCCAGCCAGCATGTTTTAAGATGGGAAGACTTCAATTCCCAGAATTCCCCAGCCCGCATGTTTTAAGACAGGAAGACTTCAATTCCCAGAATTCCCCAGCCAGCATATTTTAAGACAGGACTTCAATTCCCAGAATTCCCCAGCCCGCATGTTTTAAGACGGGAAGACTTCAATTCCCAGAATTCCCCAGCCAGCATATTTTAAGACAGGACTTCAATTCCCAGAATTCCCCAGCCAGCGTATTTTAAGACGGGAAGACTTCAATTCCCAGAATTCCTCATCCAATCAGCTTTAAGATGGGTAAACTTCAACTCTTCCGCTGTGCTCCAGGATCTGCAGGCACGATGGGGATTGTGGTGCAAACTTAATTTTGCTTAATTTCTGTTCCAAAACTACTGTTTTCTTTTTCCTCCTAGCACGCCCTTCCTCTTCCAGGATTTCTCTTTCTGGCTCCGGATATTTACAGGCATGGAGTTCTCTTCAGTCAAACCAGTGAGTTGATAACGGAGAGCTTATTTTTAATTTGAAACCCGAGATTATTAAGAGGATTCTGGTAATTGTGGAGTTGTCCACTTTAGGACCGAGTGGAATTACTCAATTTAAGACCTGTTGGCTTAACATGTTGCGTGTTCTTTTAATTGTCCCGGCTCACGGTCCTCTCTCCTCCACAGGACTCGTCCAAGTGCCGTTGGTTGGGATCAACCTACCCATCATGTGGCTGTATCTCCTGATGAACGTCGTAACTCAGTATCCTTTTTTTTGGGGGGGAAGACACCTAGCAGACAGTAACGGTGAGGTTGAGGCTCAGCCGACATTCCTGAGTTCTCTACAGTAGTGGTCAAAATTGTGGAAACCTTTTGGGAAAAGTGTATTTTTGAGGTTTGACAGCTAATAACGCCACTTTGGCTTGGAGTAGTACCATAAAATTATATATATATATCAATGGAAAGATAGTTCAAGCAAGAATGTAATGCAATACCTTTTATGCAGGATTTGCTATTAGAATGGCAGTTATAAAGAAGAAAAGTGAAACACGTAGGAAAAAACGAGATATACGGAAATTATCACGATAGAAAAAAAAGAAGATATATGGAAATGATCATCATAGAAAAATGAGATATGCAAAAATTATCACCGTGTCAGTTAATCCTCAGTTGGGTGACCTTTAGCATGAATTACGGCCTTGCAGCATCTTCCCATGGTAGTGAAGCAAGCGAACTATTCTGTGAACCTCTTAGAGAGGGCAGGAAAGCCCCATGAAGCGATACATAAGCCTTATGTGCTATAGGAAGGAAGGAAGGAAGGCAGGCGGAGAGAGAGAGAAAGAGGAAGGGAGAAAAAAAAAGAGAGAAGGAAGGCGGAGAGAGAGAGAGAGAGAAAGAGGAAGGGAGAAAAAAAAAGAGAAGGAAGGAAGGCAGAGAAAGAGAAAGGAAGAAAGATTGAGAGAGAGATTGAGATTTGTTTTATTTATATGCCGCCCTATTCCCTGCGGGACTCGGGGCGGCGAACAACTCAAGCGGGAAAAGGAAGTACAAGACAAGCATTTAAAATAGCCAACAACCACACAAGTCGAGAGGGGAAGGGAACTCATCGACCCCAGGCCTGCCGACACAGC